GTCAGGAATGGAGAAGAACCCGAGCAGAATTAGGATGTGGATGGAGCTCCTGGAGTCCTCCCAGCTGCTCCCCCAGGCTGCCCAGGAGCAGATCCAGCCTCTGCTTTATCCCTAAAATCCTCCCTGGAGGAGCAGCAAACTCTGCTGAATCCCAGGGAAAAGTGAGCCCTGTCCAGCCTGAAATTCTTCTTCCCAAAGACAATCCATTTAAAACTATTTTATTTTTAAATGTGCCCTGTGAATTTCTAAAAACCTCGATTTTGCAGCCTGGGCACAGTGTGGGGGGGAGTGACACAACCCAGCCCCTCCTGCAGCTGGGTCCCCCATGGGATTTTTGTGTTAAACCCTTGGAAATTTGGGGGCTGAGGGGGGGGTTCAGTGCCCTGTTCTGGTGCTTGGCTCCATGCTGGGAGTGTGTGACTTCATTTTTCACCAGTCAAGAGGATTTAAATGTCATTTCCATAATTAACGTGGCCTTAAAACAGAGGAAAGGTGCTCCAGTGCAGGCACCAGAGCTCCCAGTTCAGCCCCTGGTTGTTGAACACTCACAGGGACATTTTCTGCCCCTGACACGGGGATGTGCCAGGAAAATCCTGGGGGCTTCTCCAGCCCAGCACTGACCCTGCACTCTCGGTTCTTGCAGCACAGGACTGAGGTGATTTCCATGAGGGGTGTGTGGGGTTTGTAGGAAATCCCATAGAGGGAATTTGGGAGCTGCCCTGATCACAAATGGGGCTCCTCTGGTGTCACTGGTGATGTAATGACCCTGTCCCTGCCCGGGGTTTGGGCACTCCAATTAAAAAGCTTTGGGAGCTCCTTGTCCCGGTGTGATCCCTGCAGGAGAGGCCCCAGGGGTCCCTTCCCTGCCCTGTGGGAACAGAAAAATCAGAAAGTCCCACAGAAAACAGAGCAAGTGCCAGGGGAGGCTTGGCTTTGGGGGTGAATAAATCTCTGCAGCTCCCAGGGAAGTGAATGGATTTCCCTTCCCTCTCTGATCCAGGCAGAAAAGCACCTGGATTTTAGGATCTACTGCTGGGATTATGGGATTTCATTGGCCCCTTATCCAGCAGAACCCCAGCCAGGAGCTGTGGGGAGCAGGGAAAAGCTGATTTTTGTGAGCAGCCCTGCTTTGGATCCAGCACAGAGGGACCTCCCCATCCCTTGGGGTGACAATTCCCATGGGAAAATCCTGGCACTGTCACCTCCTGTCCCCACCAGCTCCAGGTCCCCAACAACACGCAGGGTCCCGTGGCTGATTCAGTCCCCAGAACCTCGGTGTAACCCCCAGAGCTCCGGGCTCGGTGTTTTTGGGGTACTGGGGGCTCTCCCAGCCACCCCTCCCGTGTGACTCTGCGTCCTCTGCAGCTCCGGGGCTCTCGGGGTTTTTTTTGTTTGTTTTTTTTTTTTTCTGTAATGTTAAAAGGGTAATAGGAACCACTTTAGATGTGATAACTTCTCGCCGGTATTGTTGGAGCAGATAAGAGCCCGAGCCGAGCTAAGCAGCGCTTTTGAATTCATTTATCAGTGTTTGAGCAGCCGGTCCCTGTCCCCATCCCCATCCCCATCCCTGCCACCACCTGGGCCGGGGGACACGGGGACAGCCCGGCCCGGGGGAGCCGCAGCTCTGACCTTGCTGAGGAAAAGGGACCTGGATGTGCTGCAGGAAAAGTGCAGAAATCCCCGAGAGGCTCTGGCAGCTCACAGAGCCCGGGGACAGCGGGGACAGCGGGGACAGCGGGGCTGTGTCACCCTGTGTGTCCCCAGAGTGGGTGATGGAGTCAGGCAGGACTCACAGAGAAGGAACCAGGCTGATCTCCACCAAGTTTTCCTAACGCTGCCACTCAATCTCTCCTCCCCCACCCCTATAGAATATTAATTCTTTATTAATTCATGATATAGCTGCTAATTAGTACCTCCACAAATGGGCACTACACCTTAGCAAAACACTCGGAGGTGTTTTGGGGACTGGGGTGTGCAGAGGGAGGGACACAGGGTTGTGTTAATCCTCTCCCCCCCCAACCCCGCCACAGCCAAGAATTTCAACTTTCAGACAAACAACTTCATTTACAAGTGTGTCTCTAATTAGCTGCAGAATTAGTAAAGCAGAGTTTTCCCCCCATAGATCGGCCAAAGCCCCGGGGGAGGCTCTGGAATGGAGAGAATCGCATTTCCAATTATTTTGTTGAATTGCTAATTTAGTTATTGTGCCTGGCGTAATTGTGATGGGTATTGGGTGTGCAATTCAATTTGTTTTAAATATTTGTGGGAAGGCTGATCAGTAATGGAGCTGACCTATTTCATGGCCCAAAGTGAGAGAAGAGACTAAAACAAAAAACAGCTACAAAGCCCCAGTTTGTCTCAGTTTTTATTTTGATGTCTCTCATCCCTCTTAAGACTGTTGATGCAACAAAAGGTTTACATTAAAAGATGATGGCACTTTGATCTTGGGCTTTGGAGAGCTTACAGCTTTGCTATGTCTTTTCTTGGCATTTTAATATGGAGATATTTTAGGCTAAAGAGTTTTAAATGTGATGCTGGAGTTCAGTAGGGTCTGTCCCCTCAGCACCCCCCAGATTTGAACTACCATGAGAAAAATCAACTGCTGGAGTCGTGGTGGCCCGTGTGGGCAGATTTAAATCTCACCTTTTGTGTGGAGACTCCAAAGGGGGTTTGAGGATCAGCTCCCAGGGACATCCCTTAGGCCAAAGTCCTGGTGGGCCCTTCCCTGCAGGCTCCTTCTGCCCAGGGCACACGATGAGGCTGGAAAAGGTCTCCAAAATCATCCAGTCCAACCCTCCCTGCCCCCAGAACAGCCCTGGGAAGAGAGTCCCGAAATTCTCCCACCTCAGCAGCAGTCCCTGGGCTTTGGGGGAGGGTTTGTCCCATTCACTGTGATGTTAAAGATGACAATAAATCAAATAAATCATGGAGGATGGGGATGGGGAGTGGGCACCATCAGACTTGGAGACACCAAGGGGATCCTGGAGGGGATCCACAGAACCCTCCCTGTCCTGGCCTCAGGCAGAGCTCAGCACATCCAGGACAGGGGTGACAGACTGCACTCACAGCAAACAGAGCTGTAATTCATTCTTTTTATTAAAAGAAATTGAGGTAAGTGAAAAACTTCAGCACCAGCGAGAACCGTTCGTACCCAGGGGGGTTCCCCCACCCAGTGACCCCCCCACACACCTTGGGGACATCACAGGTGCTGCTGCCACAGCAGGCCCAGACCCCCCAGACCCCGATGTCACCCAGCAGAATTTTTTGGGAGCTGCTTTACCCCCGAATGAAGTGGGGCCCGAGCCGGTGCTCTAACACTGAAACGGGGGAGCTGCTCTGCCCGAGGCTGTGGCAGAGTGGGGACATCCCCTTGCACCTGCAGATGTCCTGGAAAAGGGACTCTGGTGACAGAGGAGGAGCCCCACAAGTCCCGGTCCTGCCTGGCTGACACATTCTCTGTCTGTGTGTCCTGCTGCAGCCCGCCCTGGCATAAGCAAAAGCATCTTTGGGGCTTGTTCAGGGGGCTCTAGTGGAAAAAAAAAAAAAAAAATCTCTGAAATCAAATTAGGGTTCTTAACTATTAAGAAAAAGCAAATCCTGCAGGTGGCCGAGCTCTGCTGGCCACGGGCAGGGGAGCAGCGACCCCGGGCTGGCACCTCCAGTCACTGGCACCACAGGCAGAAGGGCTGCATTGCACTTGAGGAGGAAACAAGGAGAGGTGAGAGGCACTGGCAGCATCATTGATGAATTCTCTCGTAAGAACAGCCCTTCTGATGTACCATAGCTCTGAGGTACAGCCCTTCCTGCTGTACTAAAGGAGGGGCTGCAAAATCTGAAATTCTTCCAAGACCATCATTGGTGAGCCCGGGACTGCCCAGACCCAGCTCTGTAACAGGAGCTGTGGGACAGGGGTGGGCTGTGCTTCCCTCCAGCTTCTCTGAGCTTTTGTTACATTAAAAAAATCCTCTAGAAAGGACTTTGGGGACCTGGGCAGCTGCCACTCCTTCCTGCATTCACCTGGCACCCAATAATTCCTGACCATTGGAATGAGATACCAAACCCAGCATTTTTGTCACGTTCCCAGGTTAAGAGTGGCCTCTCCCCAGGCAAGCACAGGCAGCTCTGGGGCAGGGCAGGATGACAGAAAAGCTCTCCTCAGATCCTCACACTGAGATTTCCTTCTGCAGCTCCAACCCCACTGGAGGATTTGGCTCTGTCCTTTCTCCTCCCTCACCTCAGCTGCCTGGCTCTGCCTCCTGCTGCCCACAGGAGAGGGATGAGCACTTAGGATACACCAAGGATACACCCAGGATACACCCAGGACACACAGTGGGTGTGTATCCCCATCCCTTATCCCTGAAAACATCAGGGAAGGGAAGGGAGAGCAGAAATGCTGAGCAGCTGCACTTTGGTCTCTTGTACCTCCTCCCTTTCACACAATTCACAGCCTGTTCTAAGGGAATTGGGCACAAAGGCAAAGCAAGGGGGGGTTCAGCCCCCAAAATCCTGCCCCCCAAAAACCTTCACAGCCCTGGGGAGCCTGGGAGCCTCCTGGGGACACGGGGACAGCCCCAGCCACAGCAGCTCAAGGCTGGTTTTGCTCTGCCTACGAGACAAGACAGACGTGGGACACACAAATCAAATCACCACGGACAGAGGGTGACACAGAAATCACCACGGACAGAGCCAGGGGCTGCAGAGGGGACGAGGGGACATTGGCACTTGTCAGCACGGAGCTGCTGCTGCTGGGCACGGGGCAGGACAGGAGGGCAGGGTGTCCCTGCAAGGACAGGGGTGTCCCTGCAAGGACAAGGGTGTCCCTAAAGAACAGGGGTGTCCCTGCAGGATAGGGATGTCCCTACAGGGGCAGGGTGTCCCAGCAAGGACAGGGGTGTCCCTAAAGGACAGGGATGTCCCTGCAGGACCCTGCCAAGCCAAGGCCTCTCAGTACTGGAGCACCCAGCCCCGCTCTGGTCAATAAATAAGGTACAGGAGGGGACTCAGTTCCGCAGGCGCTTGTGTTTATACATTTTCCTCGTGTCCCTGGCCAAAGGACACGCTTCCTCTGGCCAGCCTGATTTGATAAAATAAAACTGTCACTGCAGCAGCGTTCCCTGAGCCTCCCCGTGGCAGCCGAGCAGACAAAGGGCAGTTCCCAGCTCCGGGTTCCTCCTGGCGGCGCCGGGCAGGGGCGGGGTGGGATCGATGCTCTTACGTGGAAGAAGGCGAGTCCATTGTGGAGAGGATCCGCACGACCTCGGCTCGCTGGGTGGGGGAGATGTGCTGGGTCATGTGCACGATGGAATCCATGGCAACCTCGGGATTGGCCTCGACCAGGCTGCAAAAGGGGACAGAGGTGAGAGAGGCAGCTCCAGAGCCTGATTCCAGGGAGCCGGAATGTGGGGCTGTGAGTGGACATTGGGACACAGGAATCCTGAGTGTGTGGAGAGGGCAGGAGCTCTGGAGCCACCCCTGATCCCAGCCTTGTCCCCTGCCTGCACTCACCCCCGGATCTGTTTGAGCACATAATCCCTGGAGATGTATTTGATGTTCTCCTCCACCACGGAGCGCACGCCCTCCTCCTCGGTCAGCTGCTTCTCCAGCCACTCCGCCAGGTCCTTGTTGCTGTCCCACAGGTAAGCCTGCCAAAATCCACAGCTCAGCCTGCACCCCAGCCCCACATGTACCCCACAGCTCTTGCACTGGCAGCTGTGGGTGACACATCTGGCTGGGCATCCCCCCACACACGCCCCTAACAGTCAGCAAAGTTCCAAGATTTTTCATTTCTTCTGCATCCTGCCACAAATGGGATGGAAGGGGACCAAGGAAGTGCTGGGTCGGTGCTGCATCAATCCCAGCAGCTGTCCCAGGTAAATCCCAGTTTCCCTGGTTACCAGCTGCCCAAATCCTGCTGGAATGTGGCTGATCTGAGATGCAGCTGCTCCAGGGATTCTCCCAGTGCTGAATCAGCAGGGACCTGAGTCCCCACCACCCCCAGCCTGTCCCTGTGCTGTCCCCAGCAATCCTGGGAGCCCTGACCCAGCCCTGGAGCCAAAGCAGCTCCTTGGGCACGGCTCAAGCCCCTTTATGCCTTTCCCAAGATCATTTCACCTGATATTTGCTAGATAGTTGGCTGTGTAATAACTCAGGAGTGTGTGAGCCCCTAACAGCCTTCTCTCCTCTCCTCTCATTTTCTTTACAAATCATTTAAGAATCGTTTTGTTAATGGTTTCCGGAAAAGCAAGTACTGCCATTAGCACTCATTCATATTTATGTCATTTTATTTGGGTAATTAAACACAAAGCTCCTCATTTAAAGGTGCACTATCCTTCTCTGTTATCACTAACCAAGTCAAAGGCAGAATGACAATGAGCTGGGGGTGGTGACACCGTGGTGGCACCTCCCTGGCACCCCCAGAACCTGCCACACCTTTGGGACACAGAACCAGGGACTCACAGAGGTTTGGAAAAACCTCGGAGATCATCGAGGCCACCACTGACCATGTCCCCAAGTGCCACATGCACAGAGCTTTGGGATGCCTGCAGGGATGGGGACTCAGCACTGCCCTGGGCAGCATTTCCAAGGGGGAATTTATTTCCCTTTCCAAGGGGGAATTTATTTCCCTTTCCAAGGGGGAATTTCTATTTCTAGGGAGGAATTTCATTTTTCAGGGAGGAATTTCCCCAATATCCTCCCAGAGCCTGCCCTGGCCCAGCCCCTGGCTGTCCCCTCCTGCCAGGCACTTGTGCCCAGGGGTCACCTCCCCCTGTCCCGGGTCACTCCAAGCCCAGTCCAGCCCTGGACATTCCCCAGCTGCTCTGGGCAGCCCTGCCAGGGAGGAATTTTGGTTCCAGAGCCCATCCCAGCCCCTGCCACCCTGCAGGAAGCCCAGGATGATTTGATTTCCTTTCACACCATGGCTCTGATTGTCTCAGCCCGCTGATGTCACTTCAAGATTTTGCTTATTTCATTGTTTTTCTCCTTATTATGGTTGGGAACTGGTCGGGTTTTGCTCCCTGCCTGTGTCCCTGCCATGCAGAAACATTCCCTGCATACAAAGGAAGGTTCCAGGGAAGGGGGGAAAGCCCAGCCCCAGACCTGAGCAAAGCTCCACTTACCCAAGAATCCCAAAGCTTTTAGTTTAGGAGAATATTTAATACTCTTATTAATCATTTTTAATCCGTTTGCTTTTAATTAAGAAACAGCATGATGCTTCCCTATCAACATATGCCAGGGAGCAGATTAATTGTGGCTTAAGATAACTCTCCTTGATTGGTGTAATGTATTAGCTAACGAGCTGCCTGCTTTTGGAGAGCTCAGGCTGTACCTTGGAAAGGCTGCTGCCCTCCAGAGAACATTCCCCCCTTCCCTGGAACCCCTGGGTGTTGGGGACTTTAAAAATGGAATGAAAAAAAAAAAAAAACCAAAAAAAAAAACCAACCCAGGATTCAAAAATAAAACAGTGAAATGAAATAGATTTAAAAAAAAATAAAGTAAAATAAATAAAATTTAAAAGTGAAATAAAATTGAAAAGTGAAATAAAAATAAATAAATAAAATAAAGTGAAATAAAGCGTAATAAAATAAAGCAAAATAAAGTTACATAAAGTAAAATGAAGTAACGTAAAGTAAAATAACATAGAGTAAAATAAGGTAACAAAGTCAAAGAAAATGAAATTAATTAAATAAATAAAATCAAATAACAGAGTAACAAGGTAAAAATGAAATAAATACGTAATGTTAAGTAAAATAAATAAAATTAGCTACAATAAAAAGGAATGGAATGGAATAGAAAATAAAATAAAATAAAATAAAGTAAAATAAAATAAAATAATAAAATAAAACAAAACAAAACAAAATACTGAGATTGGAGGCTTGTGATTAAAACCAGCTCCAGAGCCTGCAGGTTGAGCAGAGCTGGAAAAGCAATGCCCAGGTCCTGGTCCATCCCCAGGGGGTTGGAAGGGATGGCAGCCCCGGGGTGGCCCTGGGGACAGCAGGACAGGGGGGACAGCAGGACAAGGATAAGGACAGGGACAAGGACAAGGACAAGGACAGGGACAGGGACAAGGACAAGGACAAGGACAGGGACAAGGACAGGGACAAGGACAGGGACAAGGACAGGGACAAGGACAAGAACAGGGACAGGGACAAGAACAGGGACAAGGACAGGGACAAGGACAAGAACAAGAACAGGGACAAGGACAAGAACAAGGACAAGGACAGGGACAAGGACAGGGACAAGAACAGGGACAAGGACAGGGACAAGGACAGGGACAAGGACAGGGACAGGGACAAGAACAAGGAAAGGTACAGGGACAAGGACAGGGACAGAGACAAGAACAGGGACAGGGACAGGGACAAGAACAGGGACAAGGACAGGGACAAGCACAGCCCCAACGCCCCTCACTGACCTTCACTGTCCCCTCGGCCTCCACGAACCAGCGGCGCAGCATGGCCTGGATCTGCCCGTCTGTCAGCTCGGGGTTGGCCCCGTGGATTTTGCTCTTCACGGCCTCCTCCAGCAGCAGCCGCCGCAGCCGCCAGTAAAAAAATGTCCTGGAGGTTTTCCAGTCCAGAACATCCTGCCCAGGGCACAGCAGAGGGGAAAGGGGTGAGGGACAGACAAACAGACACAGCCCTCCCAAAGGGACACCCAGCTGGGCTCCTCCTGTCCCCTGCTCCCTGATTTTCCTGGCATAGTTTAAATTTCTCTTATATTTATATATTATTTATATATTTATATATTTATATATTTATATATTTTTATATTTTTATATTTTTATATTTATATATTTTTATATTTATATATTTATATATTTATAGATTCACACGTGTACATTTATATATTCACATGTGTACATTTATATACTCACATGTGCACATTTATATATTCACATGTATATATTTATATATTCACACGTGCACATTCATATATTCACATGTGTATATTTATATATTCACGTGTCCATTTGTATATTCACATTTATATATTTATATACTCACATGTGCCCATTTATATATTCACACCTATACATTTACACCTATATATTTATATATTTACATATATATTTATAGGTACACAAACAACGGGATGGGAATGCTGGAGCAGCTGTCTTGAAGCTTTATTCCATCACAATCAGTCTCGTTTTAAAGAACCAAGCAAAGGAGATGGAACAGCTTCAGCTGCTTAAAACAGCAGATAAAGTTCTTTTTGTTATCAAATCTTTTCCCAACTTTCTAGCCAGTAGTATAATATTAAAAGCTGCCAAGCATTTGCTCAGGCCAATTAATATTTACATGTACATTTTGCTTTGAACAATGCTTGCTTGTAACAGCTTAAAACAACGGATAAAGCTTCATAATTAAACTTACATTTTTCTACACTCTTGCTTTCCTATCTCTACACATCTCACAGCCCTGTTATTTCCTGTCCTTGCACCTTCAGCATTCTTGCATTTCTCCAAGCTGGGATCTGCTCTCTCAGACTTTCCCACCTTTTCTATTCCCCACGAGAGGAGGATGGAGATTCCCGGGGGATGTCCCAGCCCAGAGCCCCCGGGACACTCACGGTGATGGCTCCTTTCTCCTGCATCCTGCCGGGGGTGTCGTGCAGGTCAGCGAACTGCATGGCCACCTGCTGGTACATGGGGAGCAGGAACTCCTCCCTCTCCTTCAGCTTGGCCTCCAGCTCCTTCCTGTCAGCTGGGCTCAGCTCAGGGGTTCCTGCAAGCACAAACAGCTCAGAACCTGGGGGAATTCAGGGGTTCCTAAAGCACCAACAGCTCAGAACTTGGGGGTTCCTAAAGTACACACAGCTCAGAGCCTGAGGAATGCCCAGGGGTTCCTAAAGCAAAAAGAGCTCAGAGCCTGGGGGATGCTCAGGGGTTCCTAAAGCACACACAGCTCAGAACTTGGGGGTTCCTAAAGCACACACAGCTCAGAACCTGGGGGAATTCAGGGGTTCCTAAAGCACCAACAGCTCAGAGCTTGGGGGTTCCTAAAGCACAAACAGCTCAGAACCTGAGGATGCTCAGGGGTTCCTAAAGCACCAACAGCTCAGAGCCTGGGGGATACTCAGGGGTTCCTAAAGCAAAAAGAGCTCAGAACCTGTGGGTTCCTAAAGCACAAACAGTTCAGAACCTGCGGGTTCCTGCAAGCAGACACAGCTCAGAGCCTGGGGGTTCCTAAAGCACCAATAGCTCAGAGACTGGGCTCAGCTCAAGGGTTCCTAAAGCACCAACAGCTCAGAGCCTGAGGGTTCCTAAAGCACAAACAGCTCAGAACCTGGGGGAATTCAGGGGTTCCTAAAGCACAAAGAGCTCAGAACTTGGGGGTTCCTAAAGCACACACAGCTCAGAGCCTGGGGGAATTCAGGGGTTCCTAAAGCACCAACAGCTCAGAGCCTGGGGGATGCTCAGGGGCTCCTAAAGCACCAACAGCTCAGAACTTGGGGGTTCCTAAAGCACACACAGCTCAGAGCCTGGGGATGCTCAGAGCTGCAGTTCCAGAGCTTGGAAAGCCAAAAGACAAAGCCCAGAGCATCATCTCCCATCAGTCCCAGCACATCTCCGTGGTCCAGCCCAGAGTTTGTGCCAGAGTGTCAGGTAAGAGTTCTGAGGGTGTTTTCACCATGGAAACTCTGTTCCATTTAAATGCCAACGATCCAAGCCATCAATTAAATGACATTTACGGGACTTACTCCTAAAAGAGAATAATGTCCCAACACATTTAGCAGGAATCACAGACCATGGCACAGCACCTGCACCACTGCCAGCTCTCCTCGAGCCCCACTCCAGGGCTCTGCAATCCCAGCAGGAACCCAGAGCACACAAACCCAGCTTAAACCACTGAGAGGGAGCAGCTTCACCCAAGGCTGGAATTCACTGGGCTCACAGAGGCTGATCAGACAAATTCACGCAAGGAAATTCCAGCACAGGCTCCCTGAGCATGGAGATCAGGAAGGAATCTGATCTCAGGGAGCCTCTAAAGCACAGCTGGAAGCTGAGGCAGCATCCTGGGGGCAGCATCCCAGTGTCCCTGCAGGATTCTGCTGCTCTTTCCACAGCTCATTCCCACACACAGAAAATCCAAGGCCTGAGCACTCCAGTGCCTGCTCACACCCCCCATATATTTGTATTTTTCCAAGGCACAGGCCCTCCACACAAAGATCCTTCCCAGGGAACGAATGTTTTTTTTTTCCTGTGCCTACCAATACAAACGTTACCAAACCCTTCAGATGTGAGTAAGAAGGTTTTAATTAAGAGAAGCTCCCCTTCTAACCTTCAGAATAAAAAATTATCTATATTTATCCACGTTGAACTCCCAGGCTCCCTGGTTTTAATGGCAACACAAGCACTTAAGGCAGCCCTGCTGGTGAATTCCAGCCCTGGCCACCGAGTCCACCCAGCCAGGCCCAGTAATGATTTAGGTGAGATTAACAAATATGTCAATGTCTATTTTCTGCTTAATTTAAAAGCAGCGTCTATAAAGATTTTTGACTTCTGAACCCTGTTCTCCTGGAAGAAAGAAGGTAACAATGAGGAGGGGGGATAAAGAGTGATTATCCCATCATCGATCGTTTGTCAGGAGCATTTCTTATTCACTGGACTATTGTAAAAAGCTAAGCTCTCGATCAATCCTGTAAGCCCCCTGTACAATTAAATATCTTGGAATGGTTTTCTTTCTTTCCTAGGCAGATCTTGAGGCCTCGGGGTTTTTCAGAAAGCCTGGGCTTTATTTATTTCTTTTTCAAGGTGGGGGGGAAAAAAAAAATAAGAAAAAAAAAAAAAAAATAAGTCTCCTTCCACAAATCTTATCCTGGCAAGGAGAGGGGAGTTAAAATATGGGATTCCTTTGCTCTAGAGGTACTTGACAGTTAATGAAACTGTTAAAGTTTAAATCATAGGAACGTTATAGACCTCCAGGTATGGATTGGCTGCTAATCAATAGGGAAACAAAAGGAGCAGTGCTCTGAGACAGCCCCATTCCATGAGGAGAGAGCCTGGCACACAGGTGGGGAACACCAGGAACGTGTGTGACCTTCCTGAGCTGGCAGGGAGCACAGGACACGCTCCTGAAGTGCCATAAATGTCACTTTTTCAGCCTCCTCACAGCCTCCAGGTCACTGTGGCTCCAGAGAGTGCCAGGATGGGAAAGGGCTGGAAAACATCTTAATTCTGTTCCCAACACCTGCAGGGAACACCCCAACACCTCTTGGCTCTTTTTTCTTTTTTAATCAGTAGCCAAACTGCCTTAACCAAGTGGAAAAGAAAGATGCCCTGAGAAAGCAGCAGCTTTGGGGTCCCACCTCATTCCCACTCCTGCAACACCAGCCCTGAATCTCACCTTCTCTAGTTCTTTCTTGAGTAAAAGTTGCCAGATATCAATTTTTTCTCCCCTGGCAGGGTGGGCAGGGCTGGCACAGGGTGCCCAGAGCAGCTGTGGCTGCCCCTGGATCCCTGGCAGTGCCCAAGGCCAGGTTTGGGCACCCTGGGATAAAGGAAAGTGTCCCTGATGAGCTTTAGGGTTCCTCCTAATCCCAACCATCCTGGGACTCCATGAAATTCAGAAAAAGCAGCAAAAATGCCAAAGGTGTCCAGGCTGCCCTGGCAATTCCCAAGCCCAGCTGGAGGGAGCAGCTCCAGAGGGGAGAGGGAAGGTCACAGGGAGCCACTCACGTCCCTGGAGACACAGGCATTTTTGGATTGTCTCTTGTTTCTTTAAATGAGACAGGCTGTAATTGCTTCACTAAATATTCAGCAGGATTTATGTCAGAAAGGTGCAGCATGAACAGCCAGTGAAGGTCACACATGCTCATGGCACAGGCTGCAAATATCCTTGTACAGAATCCCTGAGATTCCCACCCTGGCCCTTCCCACTCTTTGCTCCTGAGCTCTCATTTCTGAGCAGGTCAAGCGTGGCAGGGACATAATTCCAAAAAATTCCTACCCCCAGCCCTCCTGGGAGGATATCCCAGGTGGAAATGCACAGAGGAGCTGAGGGAAAGCAGGACCTGCTCTTGGAGCCTTGTGGTGGTGAATTAACACCAATTTAAATGCAGCAGCACCCCCAAAACAAAGTTACAGCCTGTGTTTATCCAACACCCCACGAGAGATGGAATTAAAGGTTCTGTGCTTCTCCCAGGTTTTCCTGAAAAATTGGCAGTGGGGGTCAGTTCTGGTCCTGCACCCCAAAATGTTTATTTTCAGAGAGGAGCTGCTGTGCTGAACTGGAGCTGAGTGATGAATACTTGAGTGTTCACTGGGAATTTGGAAATTTAAAGACAATTTTGGATGTAAGGTGTGAACCAAGCCCCAGCAGCACAGACTGGCTGCCCTAGGCAATGAAATAAATGAAATAAATAAAATCAGAGGTGCATTCCAGCACACAGGATCAGCGGGGAGGACATTCCCACCATCACAACACATCAGGGGATGGCTGGATTCTGCCTTTTTCCTACAAGAAACGTGGAATGGCAGCAGCCAGTCTTGCTGTCACTGGAGCCATTCTGCCATTCCCTTCACTCACATTCCACCCCCTGTGACACGAGGCACACAGGCTGAGGTTTATTTTCACTCCCACTCCTACACGTTTTAATCTAATTGTAATAGATAAATACAACCGAGTCTCTGGATTTTAAACTCTGGCCCGAGGCTTGCAGGCTGCACCGTTCCCACATTTCTGGGTGATCCCTGGCACACCAACCCCACGTGGGAATGTGCTCTGGGCCAGGAGCAGTGCCACCCTTTGCTTGGAACAGCCCAAGTCCTCTGAGTGACACTTTAATAAACCACGGGGCTAATCAACATTGCAGCCATCGTGCTGGAGAATTGATAATGAACAGATTTATGTCAAATGATCCAATATCTGCCAGCCCTCCCCTGCTCCCCCACATCCCAGCCCGGCGTGGGCTCGGGGGACAGCATCACCCCGGTGCTGCTGCAGGGAGGGATGACAGCCACTCAGGGGTTAAAGAGAGGCAGTGAACCCCCAGCTAATGAGTAAGAATTCAGCAGGCAGTGTAAGATAAATGGAGCTTTCTGTGCTTCTGCTGGAGTCAGCATGAACCGCGGCCCTGCGGCTTGTTTGTGGCAAATGGAGTGCGCGAAATATCAAAGGGCAGTGATCCAGAAGAAGACCGACTTTGACAAATTTTAAATTGGCCAGAAAGAAAACCAGCAAAAAAAAAAAAAAAAAAAAAA